GGGTACTGAATGAGGTTCAGGATTTTTTTGCAGTTTTTTTTGTCCGTAGGCTATTTCCTGCTTGCTGAAATAAAGTTCTTTTTTTGTCACTTGACACCATTCTCCACGATGCCACTCCTTCTGATTTAGTTAGATGTGTTTGAGCCAGTTTCTTTGAAAAATTTTAGGGATTGCTTTTGTTCAAGTTTACTTATATAAATTATTTTCATAGTTCCAAATTCAAAGCAAAAAAAGAGGGTACATTCAGAGGCTCATATTTCTTTTGCCACCTCTGTTCTTTTTAAAAATTTTGATTTATCCTCATATATTTTTGAATATATATATATATATATATATATATATATATATATATATATATACACACACACACATGAGCATATATCACTCTAACTCCCCTTTTAATTTTTTTAGATTTTATTTATTTATCTTTAGAGGGGAAGGGAAGGAGAGAGGGAGAGAAATATCAATGTATGGTTGCCTCTTGTGTGTCCCTTGCTGGGAACTGGCCTGCAACCCAGGCATGTGCCCTGACTGGGAATTGAACTGTGATCCTCTGGTTTGCAGGCCCGTGCTCAATCCACTGAGCTACACCAGCCAGGGCCCCCTTTTTATTTTATGTAAACAGACATACTAAACATTCTTCTGTACTGTGTTTAAACATATCTTGGCTATCACTTGGTGACAAGAAATAGCAACCTTCCTTGTTCCTTCCTCCAGTTGTGTGGTACTCAGTTTGGTGCCCTGTACCACAGACACTCAACTAGTTCTTTGTTGGTGTTTGGGTTGTTGCTCCTCGTTTGCAATCACAGTGCTGCCAGCAATAGCCTTGCCTGTGCATCCTCTTCTCAAAGAAGGGTTTCAAGCACTGTGCATCTGCGTTTTAGAAAGCCCTCTGGTGAATGGGAGGCAATGAGACCCGGCTAAGGGGTCAAGGGGAGGCTGGGCTGGGGTCAGCATCTCAAGGTCAGGCTTTGAGGTTATAGAGAAGGACAGGTCAGCGATATGTAATTAGAACTCAATGCAGCTGTGTGCGCCCGTGGTCTGGATGGGGGTGATGTGGCCGTGTTCCTTGTCACGTGAGAGGTAGAGGAGGGGAGGTGATGGGACCATGGAGGCAGCCGGGAGTGTGGGGGGTCCCCTCCTTTGTGGGGGAGGTGAAACGATGGTGTGTGCCCACTTCCGTGGAGGAATGGGGACGAAGAGATCATGCCCCTCTGCTCCCCCTCCCGGCCCCCCAGCTCTCGCTTTCTCCTCTTTATTCCCTCCGCCTAGGGTGTCGCGCCTGGCTTCTGAGAAGCGAGAGCTGGAGGCCCAGCTGGGCCGATCCCGCGAGGAGGCTCTGGCTGGGCGGGCGGCGCGCCAAGAGGCCGAGGCGCTGCGCGGGCTCGTGCGTAGCCTGGAGCTGGAGCTGCGGCAAGAGCGCGGTGTCGGTTACCGCGGGTCCGGCCGCCGCAGCCAGGACTGCCGCCGCCTGGCCAAGGAGGTGAGGGAGCGCGGCGGCTGGCAGGGGCGGCCTTCGGGGACGCAGACCTGGGCCACAGACTGGACCTCTGCGCCCCTGTCCATTCCCGCAGCTGGAGGAGGTGAAGGAGTCAGAGCGGAGCCTGCGCGCCCGGCTGAGGACGCTAAACGGCGAGCTGGCCACTTACCGGAGGGGGTGAGGGGCGTGGCCCTGCTGGGCGGGGCCTCGGAGCGGCGGACCCGGCCTGTGGGTGGGCCAGGGGCTGGCGGGGCGGAGTCTGACGGAAGTTGGGCGGGGCCCGTGCTGGACAGAGTGGGTAGGTGGAACCTGAGAGTGGGCGGGGACGGTGGGGTAGGAGGGGCCTAGTGGATGCGTCCGCGGTAGAGGACGTGGAGAGTTGGGAAAGGTGAGTGGGGTCTGGAAAGACGGGCAGGGCTTAAGGTGGCAATCAGGAGGTTGGTGTTGGACAAAGGGACGGGGAAAATGGCTGGGTTTAAAGGTCCAGCGAAACGAGAAGGGCGTGGCCCAACAGGTGGGAATCTGGGTGATTTCTGCAGGTTTTTGTGGGGGGAGGGGGTGGAAAATTGGTGAGGGAAAACCAGGGAACTATGGGAAACCTCAGGGGAGAAGGGTCAGGTGAAGAAGGTGGTCAGAGTGCAGGGAAGTGACAGGTGGTGCTTTTTGGAAGGCGTAATGGGGCGTCGCGAGGGGCAGAGCCTGGGAGAAGGTTCCTGCAGGGTCGTATAGATGTGCGAGGGGGTGAGTATCTAGAAACTGATGAACCTGAAGGTTAGAAGATGGTGAAGTCTGAGAAGAGGACTGGGATAGAGTTGTCACGGCCCGTGAGAGCCTGACAATGGGACCTGCGCTCCCAGGAGACGGACTCCGCCAGTGGTGCCGCGCCCAGCCCGGGAGGACCGGGCTTCGTCGTCCCGGGAGCGTTCCGTGTCCCGTGGCCGCGGCGCTGCCCGCTCCTCATCCCGGGAGAGTGGCCGCGGGGCCCGGGGTCGAGGCCGCCCCGCCTGCCCCTCGCCCTCGCCCACAGGTCTGTGCCAGCCCTGCCCTGCCCGTGGGAGGGGGTGGGACGGATAATGGGGGCATTATCCTGTGACCGCAGCCTCTTCTGTCCACACCCTCCCACTCCATCCTAGGTGGTCGCACGCCCCGTTTTGACCCCACAGCCTTTGTGAAAGCCAAGGAGAAGAAGCTGAGAGAGATCAAGATGAAGTTAGCGTCCATTTCCTCCTCACCTGCCCATACCCCTCCCTGCCCCTTTACCTGGTCCTCTGACCCGAACCCTCGTGTCTCCCGGTCACCCATTCGGTCTCCACCACCTGTCACCTGGTCCATCTCTTTCCGTCCCTCGCGTGACCTCAAGCGAGTCACCGGGCCTGGCTGTGACCCACAGGGGCGCAGCGAGGCCCTTCCCCGAGTTAGCGGGGCGCACAGGCATGCGTTTCGTTTCGGTTCCCCAGGCAGCAGCGTCAGCGGAACCGACTGGGCAGCGGAGGAAGTGGGGACGGGCCGTCCGTCTCCTGGGCTCGTCAGACTCGTCCCCCTGCCTCCAGGACCGGCCGAGGGGACGCGGCTAACCGCTCCCGAAACCGCAGCTCCTCGGGTAACGGGCCGGAGCACGGAGCGCGCTGGGCCGGCTGGAGGGCTGGGCGGGACGGGCGAGCGCGGGAGGCTCACCGTCTCCTCCTCCCTCTAGTGGACAGTTTCCGCAGCCGCTGCTCCTCTGCCAGCTCCTGCAGCGAGTTCGAAGATTTCCCTGAATCCCTTCCTAGAGGGTAAAACTTGGGCTGGCGGAAGGGACCGCCAACATACAGGCGTCTGGGGAGACTGGGAACAGTCTGTTGCAGGCACATTGAGTGAGGGAGCTTTGGAACCGCGGAGGAGGGTGAGGCGGGAGGTGCCAAAGACTCCTCCCATGGGTCCCCAATTCCTCCTTCCGCAGCTCTCGCCGCCGCCTCGGGAAGCCCCCCAGTCCCAAAACCTTGAGTGGGTCCAGTACGGTGAGTGTCATTCCTCAGGCCTCGGGGGAGGCAGGGGCAGCACCAAACCACCAGAAGCCGATGCGTTGCTCCCTGATTTCACTGTGGGGAGCAGGTTGCCAAGGCGCCTGTGAAATGTCCCTGGAGGGGGAGCGTTTTGAGACCACTGGACTGCAAGGGACAGTGGGCGCGGGGCGCGGGCAGAGGACGCTGGTTAAGAGCATCACAATGTGTGTGACTCCAGGGTCGTTAGTGACTCAGCCTCTGCCTCAGTTTCTCAATCAGTTAAATGGGGATGCTAATAGTATTCATTTCAGATGAGTCATCTCAGGTTTTGATGAAGATACAAAGTTATTTTATATGGGTGCCTGGCAGGTGTCAGCTCTTACTTTTTTTTTGAGGTCCTTAGGTTCAGAATTTCTGATGGGATTTGGGGGGCAGGACTAGAGGGAGGGTGCTGACCTCTCTCTTGCCTCCCCCAGCTGCAGAAGTCCACCCCCGTGGAATGTGGGCGCCATCAGAGACGCCTGGCCAATTCTGGGGGCTGGGTCCCCACCAAAGGTGAGCCCAGGACTCCAGGTCTCCCCCTCACATGCCCCAGAGCCTGCTGGGGTGGTACTGAGGACATCGGCACTCCCGGTGGCCTAAGGCCCCGAACAGCTCGCCACACCGACGCCTGCTTTCACAGAGTACGGCTCCGACTACCAGGCCGCTGACATGGCCGAAATAGACGCCCGCCTGAAGGCCTTGCAGGAATACATGAACCAACTGGACACGCGGTCCTGACTTGGTAGAGGGATCACTGTCCCTTTAGCCCCTATCCACCCTGGATTTGGCGTGTTGGAGGCGGGCCTGGCGTGTCCTTCCAGCGCCACCCAGGCCCCGCCCCTCCAGGTGCTCTTGGGGTCTCAGGTGTGTGAGGCCCTTACACACCCCTCCGGCTCCCTTGGGCATTGCAGGCTGGGAGGGAGGGTCTGTGCCTTTTGTAAATAAACGTATTTGTCCTTGGGATGCCTGAGCTTGTGACTGGATGGTAGGCTTGGTGGGGGTGGGGGGAGATACCAGGACTGGGAGGAGGTTTCTTTGGGACCTGTGTGCATTTCTGGGCGTGTCTGCTGGGGACAGATTAGGGGTCAGGCTCAGGGAAAATCTTGCACTCCCTGAAGCAGTGAAAGCTGGGGACCTGAAGGGTGGTAGTGAACCGCCTGTCTCCAGAGGGGTCCAAGCAGAGATTCCGCACAGGATGCCTGTGGCCATGTGGTGGAGAGGGGTGTCTCACAGCATGGTGCACTGCCTCCCCCCCACCCCCCCAAGGCACACAGCTGCTGCCATGACACCCGGCCTGCCTGGCACTAACTCCCCGTGCGCTGACCTCTGGGTTCCGAGCTGCGCCGTTGCTCTGGAGCTGGGATCTCTGGGGCCTTGGTTCAGGGTCGGAGCCCCTGGGTTCTGAGCACCAGCGAGGACGGAGTGTTGGAGGTGGCTGAGGTGTCTGTGGGAGGGAGGCGGGGGTGGGAGGCCATCGGCAGACACAGGAACACAGTTTGAGCGGCGCCTTTATTGGAGGGGAGGCCCTGGGGTTCCCACGTGGGGGGCGGGGCATGGAGAGAGGGCCTCACATCTGGTAGTGTGGCCACTGGCGGATGATTTCATACAGCCGATCGCCTGGAGACAGGGTCCGCTGCACGTCCCGGTGCCCTTTGAGCACGTAGTCATCGGACAGAACGTTCAGAGCCACTCCGCAAGCTATCAGACTCTGGGCTGCCCGGAGGGCCCGGGGCGCGGGCGACCGCTCTGCGGTGGGGACAGAGGCAGGAGCTAATAAGCTGGAGCTGCCTTGGGGGGCAGCGGTAGGGTGGGGTAGTGGTCCCACTCCTGCGTCCCCAGAACCCAGGCTGCCGCTCCCTAGCTGTGCCTCAGTTTCTCTGTGCCTCAGTTTTTCTTCATGTGTGAGAGAGTAATGGCCCTCGCTGCACGGCTGTGGGGTCATCAAATGAGTTACTTTGCATCAAGTCCACGGAATGGTGCCTGGCACAGCTGCTGCGGGCCGTCATCACTGGCCATTCTCCCTGGGGCTCCGGGGCTGTGGGTCCTACCCACAGCAATGCTATTACCAAGTGCTTCTTAGGTGCCGGGTTCCGGCTGGACTAGCAACCTTTATACAGAGTCACTAATCCTCATCCCAACCACGCGGTTGAGAATGGTCATTATCCAGAAAGGAGGAACTGAGGCTCAGGAAAGCAGAGTCCGTTGCCCAGGGTCACAGAGCTCGTGGGTGGCAGAGCCTCTCCACAACCACGCACCACACCATGCCGCCCCCCTGGCCCGGAGGCAGCCCCTCTGCTGCGCGGCCGAACACTCACCCATGAAGTTGCCCATAAAGGTGATGCCGATGGCTTTGGTGTTCCAGCGACTTGCGTGGTCACCCTTGAGCTCCCAGCCCCGGCCCTCGTACACAAGCCCGTCTTCTCCGATCAGGAAGCTGCGTTGGGGGTGAGGGAGGTTGGTGAGGGAGGGAGGGCCTCCTCCACTTGCCCTGCCCATGTTCCTGCCAGTCCCAGTCCCTGCCCACCCCGTTCCCCAGCCTTCCTCCATAACGACAGTGGCAGTGGCCCCTAAACTGCCAGGCACAGCCCCGCATGCACCCGTTTTCATCCTCACAGCGACTCTGGGCCCGCTGCCCCTGTTCTGTAGATAATCAGAGAGGCGGAGACACCTGCCCAGGGTCACACAGTCGGGCGGGGGCAGAGCCAGGGCTCTCACCCAGGCCCCTGTGACTCCCACCCCCCGGGGTCTGATTCCTTGCTCCATCCTGCCTCCCTGGAGGATTTGTCGGGCTCGGGTCTGCTGAGGCCTCATGCGAGGTCCGTCACCCAGGCGGGCACTGTTGGTGTCCCTGCGTGAAGCCGAGGAAGCGGACTTGCAAAGAGAGGTGATTTGCCCCAGCTCGTGTCCCCGAGGCCCCTGCTCAGAAATCTCCACAGAGGAGCTCCAGTGCCCTCAGCCGGGCCTGCCTCCTGCTCCCCGTTCCCTGCTGGGCTGCTGGGGGTCGGGGTCAGGGGTCAGGGCCTGCAGGGCTGGGGCCATGATCAGACAGTGGACCCTGAGCCCCAGCTCTTTGAGCTCCCATTCCTGGCAGGTCCTGAAGTCTCCCATTCCACACGTCTCGACTGGGCGAGTCTGGCCTGGCACGTTGGAACTGACCAGACGGGCACCTTCGGAGGAGCAGTATCTGCCACCTCCGCCCTGTGGCCCCCCGGGGTGCCAGTGACCCACAGCGCATTGGAACGTCCGGATCTTGGGTCCTGAATCTGCCACTTAGGATGCCAGACTCAGAATCTGGCTCCCAAAAGACTAGGAATGCCACAGTGACCCTCAGGACGGGGCCAGCTATGACCCTGCGAAGTCCTCAGCACCTGGCACAGGCGATGGGTGCTCCTTGTGTGTCTGTTCAGTGGGTGCAGCTTCTGTAAACCTCTACCGCCACCACCAGGAGGCCTGAGGGAGGACGGGCCGGGTCACGGAAGGAGGATTCAAAGCTCTGAATCAGGCTCTGAATCCTACACTCCGAGGGACAGACTTCGGCCCGCTTTTCTGAGCGGTGACTGAGGCCAAAGGCTGTGGGGCCAGGCCCTGGCTCTTGTCACTTCATGGGAATGGAACACTTGGAGACCGAACCTTGACGTTGGAAGCTTTGAATTGTAAACTCATGAACCGGAAGAGCTGGGAGATACCCTTGGAGGCGTCTAAAATTTCCCGAGTGATGTTCCCAGGTTCCCCGGGCTCACCACAGCACCTGTCACCCCCGGCCGAACCCTCTAAGGGAGGCGCCTGGGAGCCTGCATTTTCGGTGAGGGCATTCTGGTTCTCACCAACGACTGAGAGCCTGTAGGGGCCAAAAGTTCTCTCGAGCTGGACCCCAGCCTGTCACCCTGGAAAGGGAGCCGGTGGGCCCGGGCCCCTGAGGTGGAGGTGACGAGCCCCACCCTGCATCTGCCCTCAGGCCCCAGTGTCTGTCTCCCCACAGCAGCCAGGGGGACCCTCACACCCCTGCCCTGGCTCCTGCCTTCCTCCTGGTGGCCATGAGGCCCTGTGTTGCCTGGCTCCTCCCAGCTACCTCCCCTGCCCTGCCCGGCTCACTCCCCCTCAGAGCCTCCCCCTGCCTGCGGTGTCCTAGCTTATTGCACCTCCTCCCAGAGCCACCTCAGAGCCAGGTCACAGGGCGACATCCCCTCCCCCTGCCCTTCCGAAGGACCCTGTGTGGGTTGCTCGTCCTCACTCCCATTGCTTCTGTCAGCATCTGAACTCACAGTGCTGACTTTGTTTCTCTCTGCTGGGCTTCACATCCGGTCGGGCTAGATGCCCACTGCTCACGGCTGTGTCCCCACCCGGGCATCTGGCTGGTGGCCCGGGATGTAGCAGGTGCCTCATGGCAGGGGTCCACGGGTTTGGGGCTCCCACCACATGCCGGGTGGGATCCTAAGTGCTGCTTTGCACCTATGGTTTTAATGATCAGGGGACCATAACTCCACAGACCACAGAGGGGGAGGCTGAGAGCATGCCGTCACCTGGCCTGGGTCTCAGGCAGCCATGAGCAGAGCTGGGGGCTGGAACCCGGACCCAGACACTGACGCGTGTCCGCAAAGTCCGTCCTTCCTCGGGGCAGCAGACCTGGACACCAGGAGCCCCTTCCCGCTCCTGGCATCTCCGCGCTGCCTGCACACGCCCAGCCTGTGCGGTGACTCCGGGAGAACGGAAGCGACCCCGCTGTCCCCCAGGCCGGCGCGCCCTCCCCCTCACTCACTTGTAGGCCACGTCGCAGAACTCCAGCGTCTGCGCGTGGTAGTGCTGCACGTTCTGGGCCTGCTGCCCGCACAGCGCCGGGGTGTCGCAGTGGCTGCCCGCCGTGTGCGACACCACCACGTAGTCCACCGGCAGGGACAGTTTCGTCTGGCACACGGAAGGCAGTGCGTTCCACTCCCTCCGCGGCACGATGGGGCCGCAGCACGTCTGGTTTCCTTCCTGCGCCGCCGCGAGTCCCAGGAGGGCGAGGAGGGCCCAGGCGAGCGGCGCACGGAGCCGGGACATGGTGGGCAGGCGCGCAGCGTTGGCGGGGAGGTGGGCTCCTCCGCCTTTATCTGCTGGGGCCCAAGGGTGGAGGGGTGGCGGGGAGGGGAGGGGAAGCCTTGCATCACACTCTGGGGGGCCTTCCTTGGCAGGTTACATCAGACCCCGACTCCGCTTCCTTTTCTGGTCGGGCTGCCACAGGATGCCCTGTGGTCGGGGCTGAGGGAAGCAGGGAAGGGGAGCCCATGCGACCATCAAGGGACCCCTGGTCCGTCCGGCAAAGAGGGGCGTGGGGAGTGGCGCACAGGCCCCTGGGCACTTTGGCTGTGCTTTCTGGAAGGCTCGGGGCCTGGGTCCCTGTCCTGCTTTCTCTCTCCTGTCAGTGGGCCATGCAGCAATTCACCAGGAGCTGAACCCCAGGGAGAGGCCCGGGGCCTCTTCCTTCTTCCGGCAGAGAAAGAGGCAACAAAAACCACCTTTTTTTAGCCACTTCTCCTAGGCCCAAGTCCAATGCCATTGAACCCTTTCAGCAAACCCCAGAGGTAGGCGTGGAGAAGTCCCTTTCACTGTTGGGTAAACCGAGGCTGGGAGAAGGAAAGTCACGTGGCTGAGACCTAGTACATAGTAGAGCCTGGTGGCCCAGGTCCCGCGTTCAGAGGCAGGTTGCCTGCATTTGAATTCTGGCCATTTTCCAGTGTGTAGGCTCGGACAAGTGACCTAACCTTTCTGTGACCCAGTTTCCCCACCTGCAGAATGGGGATGATAATGAACAATAATAGGGGGCGGGTGAGATTCAGTGGGTGGACAGGGTGGAACCCGCAGAAGATGCCTGGCTCATGGTGCCTCACAAGCACCTCTGGGACTTGGATTCAAATGCGCCGCTGGTCGTGAGCATTTGCGCTTTCCTCAGGTACCACTGGCAGCTGCGTTGTGCAGGGATTGGTGGGGGGGGGGCGCTCTGAGGGCCGGGGAGGAAGGATCCGTCGCCCCCCGCACCACTCAGCGTGGTTTGTGCTCACCTGTTGGGGCAGAAGGCCCTCCCGGGCCCCTGCTCCGTCGGGGCCCCCTTTTCCACTCCCTCCTACAGCCCGTGGTGAGATCGCGCGCATGAGATCGCACACATGCTCTTCCTCCTTTCCGGCTACTTTTGGGGATTAAAAAGATGACCAAAGGTTTGGGGCACTGTGTGAAAGAGGTGAAGGGACTGAGAAAGGCAAATGGGTCATCACGACGTAGTCACGGGGACGTGAGTAAAGCATAAAGAACATAATCAATAATATTGTGGTAACGCTGTACGGTGCCAGTAGGGTACCGGAACGAGTGAGGGGAACGCTAGGGAAAGTACACGATTTTCTAACCACTAAGCTGTACCCCCAAACTGATATGTAATAAAGAAAACACAAATAAAGCGCCATGAAATTTTAAAAAGTGACCAAAATCACAGGCGAGCTGTACCTAGTTGAGCTGATCCAAAATGTCAATCACCTGTGTCCCGGGTCCTCCAGCTCCGCCCCACTGAGGCCGCCCAGGAGAGCAGTGGGGTGCGTTTCCTTCCACCAGATTTTCCGTGCGTGGGCGGATCACGCTTACACCCACGGTGTCATCCAATGGCACAGCAGGTGTCACGAAGCACTTTTCATGAATTATCTCAGCATATGCTCCCAGCAGGCTTGTAAAATGGATTCTATTATTAGCCCCCCTTTTAAAGCCAAGGGAACGAGCCCAGAGGGGTTAGGTCCCTGTAGGTAAAGGAAGAAGATGATGACGTCAGGGTTTAGCCACAGGCCTCCTGGCTCCAGAGATTAAATTTTATTTTATTTTATTTATATTTTTAAATATTTTATTTATTTATCTTTAGGGGAGACGGGGAGGAGAGAGGGAGAGAAATATCAGTGTGTGGTTGCCTCTTGTGCATCCCCTGCTGGGAACTGGCCCGCAAGCCAGGCATGTGCCCTGACTGGGAATCCAACCTGTGACCCTTTGGTTCACAGGCTCATGCTCAATCCATTGAGCTACACCAGCCAGGGTCAGAGATTCAGTTTTAAACCACATATTCCACTACCTGCAAACATATAAGGACATATATTAAAGAATCAAAACCATGCATGTCCGCTTGCCTTTTGTCACTTTGTATTTCATGTGCTTCTCTCCAGTGCCTCTAATTTATTCTTTATTGTACTTGCATAATATCATCTGAGTTTACCATTGTGATAAACTTTCGGGCGCTTTCCTGTCCCCACCTCCAATGCTGCACAGAATATTACCAGACATACAGCCCTACACGGAGACACCATTATACATTATAAATAGAGGCTCTTGGTTGAAGACTGTACATTATTTAATAGATATTACAAGCTTGTTCTTCCCAAATGGCTGTTAACAATTCGTACTTCCACCAGTAACGCCATGGAGCCCTCGTTCACCCCAGACGTGGGGGTTAGCACTTCTTAACTGTATGTGTATGAATCGACGTGTCTTTGTAGCTTTACTTGGCATTTTTATGACCACGCAGGAGAGTGAGCGTCTTTCTGTGTTTGCTGCCCATTTGGACCGACCATCTGGATCTGCCTTTTGACAATTGCCTGTTCATCTCCATTGCCCATTTTTATTTTAAAAAAATCTTCATCCGAGGATATGTTTACTGATTTTTTTTTTGAGAGAGAGGGAGAGAGAGAGAAACATCAGTGTGAGACAGAAACATCAGTCAGTTGCCTCCCATTCGAGCCCCAACTGGAGTTTGAAGCCTGCTCTTTTCAGCATATGGACGATGTTCCAGCCTACTGGGCAACCAGCCAGGGTACCATTGCCGAATTAAAAACCAACTGGGAGCCCTGGCTGGTGTAGCTCAGTGGACTGAGCGCAGGCCTGTGAACCAAAGGATTGCGGTTCGATTCCCAGTCAGGGCACATGCTTGGGGTGCAGGCCAGTTCCCAGCAGGGGACGCACAAGAAGCAACCATACATTGATATTTCTCTCCCTCTCTCTTTCCCTTCCCCTCTAAAGATGAAAAAAACACCCGAAACAAAAACAACCAATTGGGGCATTTGCCACTCTGGTATCAATGTTCAGAATGAAGAAAACAATGCCATAATTAGTGCCGAGTTGTTGGGTATGTATGTTTTGGGTCTCAGTTCTAATTTTGAAAGCATTGAAGAATAGCATATATATCGAGAAAGTGGTCAAATGTACTTTTTAATGGAGTGAATAGGACTCATTTATACAGTTAATAGAATTAACAGGGTGGAGGGCTCTATTTTTATGCCAGGAACATGCTCATGTATCTAGTACCCAGGTCAGGACATAGGGCTACATTAAAAACATTAATGAATATTGCCAAAGCCATTTCAAAAAGTTTTGGTATTTCCTTCTCTCAGTAATGTGATCAGTTTTAAAATGCTTTACCAACCCAGGGAGTGGTATATCATTAGCCTTTTATTTGCATTTTCTTGACCATAAGAGAGGTGATCCTCTTTTTTACACATTTAGGACTGCACCCACCTTCTGTGAACTGTCTGTTCACCTTTTAAAACCGTTTTTCCTGCTGGGTTGTTGAATATGGTGGATGGTAACCTTGGGTGTTTAGTGTGCTGCCAACCCTTTTCTCAAGTCTATTAAAAAATCTAATTTTTTCCTGTTATAGTTTCTATGTTCCCTATAATTAAGAAGAGCTTTCCACACCAAGATGATAAAACTTTGTCTATTTAAAAAATATCACTTTTTTCATGCTTTGATCTGGTCTGAAATTTTAGCCCTACCGCTTACTAGCTGGGTGCCCTTGGGCAACTGGGCAGCATCTGACGTAACCGACCACTTCCTTTTCCCTGAAATACTCACTTCCCTTGGCTTCTGTGTCATCAGATGGATTGTCCTTCCGCTTCTCCGGCCGGCCTTTGCTTCCCCCTTTCAGACTCATTCCTCCCTCCTTGACTGTTATGCTTTTTTCTGCCAGGTGACCTTGTCCAGATAATGGCTTCAGCCACCCCTGAAATGCAGATAATTTCCCGATGTTTTAGGTCCAGCCCAGAGCTTTCATCTGAATTCTGGATCTGTGTGTCCACCTGCCTTTTTGAAATCTTGGGTGCCCTGCAGGCCCTTTCGATGCAAGATTCTCCAAGTGGCTCCTGATTTGTTCTTCCAAAGGGGGTTCTCTTTTCTGAGTTCCTGTCAGAGGGCTTATTCGATTGTCTTCTTGATACACATGCCGTGCATCTGAGCGCTGTCCTCGACTAACCTCTGCTCTCTCCCCTCCTGTTTCCTGCACCCAAAACCAACCCCAGCATGTAGCAGGTGCCCTATAAATACCCAATGGAGCCCTGGCTGGTGTAGCTCAGTGGATTGAGTGCAGGCCTGTGAACCAGAGGATCGCAGTTCAATTCCCAGTCAGGGCACGTGCCTGGGTTGTGGGCCGGGTCCCAGCAGGTGATGCACTAGAGGCAACCCTACATTAAGGTTTCTCTCCTGTTCTCCTTCCCCTCTAAAGATAAATAAATAAAAATTAAAAAAACAGTTTTAAATAAATAAATAAATACCAAATGGTTGAACAAATAATTCAGTTCGCCCCTCAGCCATGTTGCTGTTACGTCCCGAATATCTCACAAATTAGATTTCTGTCTATTCCCACTGTCTTCACCCTGGTTCAGCCACCATTTCTTGACACCTGGAGTTTGCTCGCACCCGTCCAGCAACTTCCCAGCATGCACCCTGGCCCCAGAGGCCAAATCTCAGATCTGATCAGGTGTTTCCTGAAGGTCACCCTAAAAAAATGAGTCATTTTTTTGTGGTTTCTCACGACTCTTAGGAAGAGTCCCAAAGTCCTCACCATGGCTGCCCCCACAGACTGCCTTCGCCCCGCCTCACCTCGCTCACTCCCTCTCCCTCTCTCCCCCAGTCCCCCAGCCACCTGCTCCTTCTTGCTGCCCTTGAAGATGCTTTGACTATCCTGCCCCCAGGGGGCTTTTTACACACTGTGCACACGTTTTGTTTATTTATTAATTTTTATTTTATTTATTTATTTTTGAAGATTTTATTTGTTTATCTTTAGAGGGGAAGGGAAGGAGAGAGGGAGAGAAACATCAGTGTGTGGTTGCCTCTTGTGTGT